ATCGGCTGCAAAATAGTCTAGTCCCTGGAGGCTCTTTCTGACCGTCGCGCTACAAGCAGCTAATACACGCAGTAGTGTTCTTTTACTGAAAGGGGTAAATCCGACTTCTTTGCAATATTGCTCATATTGAACAGCAATTCGCTCTGGTATTAGACACCGAACCACATTTGCTACTTCCAATACGTTACCGTTGGACAGTCGTAGACTCTTTTGACCAAAAGGCATATCTTGAATAATATGTGGGCTAGTAATGAACTGCAAAAAATGGTCAAGTTGGGCCTCGTCTATCCGTACGCTGAAGGCCCTACAGGAACGGGCGTCGCTACTCCATGCTGAAGGCGATGTAAGTTCGCCACAGTGTATCTATACTGGGTCAGACCGGGAATAAATTCTTGTATAGTAGAAAAACTCGCAGCGGCAGTCATAATTGAAAGGATTTGTCTCCGTGTGTCCCAGCTGCCGGCATTTTTGTAAGTTTCTGCTATAGCCTCGAGGTAAAGACGTTGGGATGAGAGCATTATACCCTCTACACCAAGCTCATCACTGACGGGCCTTGAAGCTTGTAGTGCTGACCAAAGATAACCTGAGTTTTCGGGGGACACAACCTTTAACACTGCGACGAGGATATCTCTAGTGTGTTGTATGTACCTTCGTTTCGTTCTATCAGCACTCTTTAATCACTCAAACTGTGGATTATCAACCGTTTTTACGTCACACTCCGAAAGGAATTCATTAAGCAGCCTTAAAGGTTTGTTGGCACAAAGAACCACTTCACCTGAGCTAGTTGTACTTGTGTTTTCGGATGACCCAAAAATGTAGCTGTCGTCAATGGAAAGGTGTTTTACATTCTCACATATATCTTCTGTACTACTTGCCCCTGCTTCCTTATGGGAGGGAAAAATATGAAAAGTAATTTAACGATCGCAAATTATCAATAAATTTTCGATGAGAGTGAACATTAGTTTTCATAAGATCATTGACTGTTCTTGAAGAAAACATTGACGGGACAGTCCTTGGCAAACTAGTCTGGTTGTTTTTCAAAAGAGTACATGCGCTTTTTTTTTTTACGCACTCTCTAATTGACAGGTGTCAGTTTGTGATAGATACTTGTAAAAATAATGTTTTATAGTTTGTTTGGAAGCGTTTTAAATCACCTTTATCAATACGCAAATGAAAAGGTTTCAGTCAAGCATCTCTCTATAATTTGCATCACCTCTATTTTAACCACGGCATTTACTCGCTCAGAAATTGCTCAGCTTATGGAAGATCTTGCTGTATTTACAGCTCTAAATCACGATTCGGGTTCTTTCGGAAAGAATTTCGTTAAGTTAAAAAAAAAAAAA